GGAGAGGGAGAGAGAGATAGAAACATCAATGACGAGAGAGAATAATTGACTGGCTGCCTCCTGCAGGCCCCACACAGGGGTTCAAGCCCACAACCTGGGCATGTGCCCTGAGTGTTACCAATTCACCTGGGGGGAGGGGGGGCAAAGATGGTGGAGCAACCCAATCCCCACGCACCTCCAGTTCAATCGGCGTCAAATGTCCCAAAGCATTTACCAGCTCCTGCATTTAAATACATTCAAGACTCAGGAGTAATCAGTAGGGTGGCCAGCTGATTCCGGTTTGTCCAGGACGTTCCTGGCCTTAGCCCTGGAAGTCCCATGTCCCAGGGAACCCCCCAGGCTCAGGTAAACCAAGGTCACCAGTTACCCCAGCTCAGTGACTGCCCATTAGAATTTCACAGCAAGCTTTAAAAATTCCTGCTGCTGGGCCCGCCTCCAGAGGTGATGTTAGACTGGGGCCGGGAGCAGCCAGGGCGTGAGGAGGTTGAAAAGTTCCTCTGAATTCTAATGCTGCCAGGGTAGAGAACCACTGCAGCTCCTTGCCTGCCATTGCTCCTACTAAAAATATTTCTAAACCCAAACAAAGTCAATGATTCTAATGAAGTTGGACCCATACCACACACCATATACAAAAATGGACTCAAAATGGGTCAACAGTCTAAATATAACTAAAACTATAAAAATCTTAGAAGAAAACATAGGGATAAATCTGTTTGACCTTGGATTTGGTGATGGATTTTTAGATAGAACATTAAAAGCATGAATAACAACACTGAAAATAGATAAATTAGACGTTGTCAAAATTAAAGACTATCGTGTATCAAAAGAATTATTTTTTTTAAGTTATTGATTTTAGAGAGAGAAAGAAAGGGAGGGAGAGAGAGAGAAACATTGATTTGTTGTTTCACTTATTTATGCATTCATTGGTTGATTCTTATATGTGCCCTGACTGGGGATTGAGCCTGTAACCTTGATGTATCAGGACAACGCTCTAACCAACTGTGCTACCTGGCTAGGCCCAAAAGACATTATTAAGAAAGTAAAAAGCCAATCTACAGAGGGAAAAGTATTTATAAATCTTATATCTAATAAGGGTCTTCTATCCAGAATATATAAAGAACTCCACGACTCAAAAGAAAAAGATAACCCACTAAAAAATGAGCAAAGGATAGGAATAGACATTTCTTTGAAAAAGATACACAATCACCAACAAGCGCACAAAAAATGCCATTAGTCACCAGGGAAGTGCAAATCAAATCCACAGTGACATAACACGTCATGCCCACTAGGATGGATATCAGAATAATTTAAAAAGCTGGAAAATAACAACTGTTGGTGATGTGGAGAAATTGGAATCTTCGCACATTGCTGGTGGAAATGTAAAATGGTACAGCCACTATGGAAAGCAGTTTGGTGGTTCCTCAAAAAGATAAACATAGAGCTATCTTCTGACTCAGCAATTCCACTCCTAAATACATACCCCAAAGAATTAAAAGTAGATACTCAAACAAATGCCAATGTTCATAGCAGCACTACTCACAAAAACCAGACTGTGAAAGCAAACCAGAAGGTGGAAACAACCCAAGTGTCTGTCAGCAGATGAACGGATAAACAAAATGTGGTATATCCATGTAACGGAATATTACCCAGACATGAAAAGGAATGAAGTAGCAATATGAACTCCACCATGGATGAACCTCAAAAACATGTGAAGAGAAAGAATCCAGCTCAAAAGGTCACAATATTGGATGAATCCACCTATATAGAATATCCAGAACACAGTAAATTAATAGAGATAGAAAGCAGATTAATGGTTGCCAGGGGCTGGAGAGGGCAGAATGGGGAGTGACTTCTTAACTTGTAGGGTGATGGAAAAGTTTAGGACTAAATAGAAGTGGTAGTTATACCACACTGTTAAAATAGTTGATGGTATGTTATCTGAATTTCACCTCAATAAAAAAATTAATGGTTTACTCTTATCTACAAAATACAATTGAGACTAAACTCTTTAGCGGTCAAAGTCCTTCACAGCTGATCTTTACTTCCTGTAGCCTTATCTTTTATCACTCCCATGATGCTAACTGCCTGTTCATGGCATTCCACTGAAATCCCAGCGTGTCAAATACACTCTGCCTCGCCTTGAAAGCTCACCCACATGGCGAGGGAGGTGTCTACCAGCAGTTCCAGCCACAGTCCTCTCTTGATTCTTGTAGCTCTTAACTTTACACCCTTGCACTCAAAGCCTGGTCCTGGGACCAGAAGCATTGCTGTCCCCTGGGAGCTTATCAGAGGGGCAGAACCTGGTGCCCAACCCCAGACCCATTGAGTCCAAATCTGCATTTTAACATGATCCTCTGGTGATTAAGTCTGAGAAGCACAGGCTTATACTAGTGGCCCTCAAATTAGGCTGTAGATCAGCATCACTTTGTGAGCTGTATTTATTTATAATATACTAGAGGCCCAGTGCATGGATTCATGCACCAGCGAGGTCTCTCAGCCTGGCCTGCGCCCTCTCGCAATCCAGGACCCCTCAGAGGATGTCGGACTGTCAGGGATTGGGCTGAAACTGGCAGTCCGACATCCCCCGAGAAATGTAGTAGTGCACGAAGTAGCAGATAGCCGGGGAGGAGCCCAAGCCTAGGCCGGGCACTGCGCTACTCCCGCTCATCAGGGCCCCACTTCGCCTGCTGCCGCTGCCACCGCCTAGAGGCTCTCACCAGAGCAGCTCCGCTTGACAGCTGTGAGCCCGGCTTCTGGCTGAGCAGTGCTCCCACTGTGGCAGTGCACTGACCACCAGGGAGTAACTCCTGGGTTGAGTGTCTGCCCCCTAGTGGTTAGTGTGCATCATAGCTACTGGTCGACCAGTCGCTTAGGCTTTTATATATATAAATATTTTAAACAATATATACACATGGTTAAA